AACTAAAGGTATTTATGGATTATCAAAGGTGAATTATTAAACTATAGAAATACTGGACCTATATGTGTGTAAAACTAAACTTATCAACGTACGTAATTAATAGACTGGATTCTAAAGTGGGCAGTACCAGATCTCATTTATAACCAGAATTGTGTTAACCTATTGAATTGTAAAATTACATCATTGCGATCTTACAATATTCGTTTCTATTATTAAGATTAAAAATCAATAAGGCTAGGCTATAAATTGCGCGCTGCGAATTCAGATCGCTTGAAAACCTATAAGAACTAGAATTCGATCCAATAATATAATAAGGAATAATATAATTTTAATATATTGACAAAATTGAAACAGGATTATATAAAACCTATCAAAATTATTAAAACATAAATCTACTAATCTAATAAAATTTCCCTTCTATTTAAATTTATATTATCACCTTCAATCATTCTTTTATTAAACAGCTCGTTCGAATTTATACAAAATTTCTATTCCACAAATCGAGAAAAATCTGAAAAGCCGTAAAATAGAGTTAAAAAAATTTAATTAAATTAAAAAAATAGAGTTAAAAGAATCGGAAGAAAACTAAAAACTAAAAATTAGAAATCAATATTCCTATCACAAATATATATTAAACCCATATAAAAACACCATCGATCAAATATCCAAACTCCATAAAATAAAAATATAAAATAAACTCTATAATTAAAAAAGATTAACAAAAACCAGTAAAGTCACAAATAAATTAAAGCACACGAAATCTACCGATCAACAAAGAATCGGAAGAAAACTAAAAACTAAAAATTAGAAATCAATATTTCTATCACAAATATATATTAAACCCATATACGAACACCATCGATCAAATATCCAAACTCTATAAAATAAAAATATAAAATAAACTCTATAATTAAAAAAGATTAACAAAAACTAGTAAAGTTACAAATAAATTAAAGCACACGAAATCTACCGATCAACAAAGAATCGGAAGAAAACTAAAAACTAAATTAGAAATCAATATTCCTATCACAAATATATATTAAACCCATATCAAACCATCGATCAAATATCCAAACTCTATAAAATAAAAATATAAAATGAACTCTATAATTAAAAAAGATTAACAAAAACTAGTAAAGTTACAAATAAATTAAAGCACACGAAATCTACCGATCAACAAAGAAAGAAGATAACTAAAAACTAAATTAAAAATCAATATTCCTATCACAAATATATATTAAACCCATATACGAACACCATCGATCAAATATCCAAACTCTATAAAATAAAAATATAAAATAAACTCTATAATTAAAAAAGATTAACAAAAACTAGTAAAGTTACAAATAAATTAAAGCACACGAAATCTACCGATCAACAAAGAATCGGAAGAAAACTAAAAACTAAAAATTAGAAATCAATATTCCTATCACAAATATATATTAAACCCATATACAAACACCATCGATCAAATATCCAAACTCTATAAAATAGAGTTAAAAAAGATTAACAAAAACCAGTAAAGTCACAAATAAATTAAAGCACACGAAATCTACCGATCAACAAAGAAAATCGGAAGAAAACTAAAAACTAAAAATTAGAAATCAATATTCCTATCACATAAGCATAACACACATATATCAAATATACAAACATCATCTATCAAATACCCAACGAAATTCGAGGCTAAATCTACGAGAGAGCGGGAAAAAAAGAATCCCGTTTCGTTAACGTGTAAAGCAAACATTGGAAATCCCCTAGCCTCAGTCATAATGTCGGGAGGGACGCGTTAGAGAGTCCATTCGATCGAGAATCATCCAGAGTTTCACGATGGAGATTTATAAGGGTAGCCAGAAGGGAGGAGGGGTGCGCGATATGGCACGGGTTCTCGGTTACATTGTGCGACGGTAGCCGCTTCTGTGGGGTGGTTTAACCGGTATTACTCGTAGGAAGGGGTTAGAAATGTTGTATGATCCGGTATGGTCGACGGTACGGACAACGAGGCCGGCCCATTGTCCTGCAAATCCCACCAAATTTTATTGCTCGTTCTCCGCGTGTGTGCCTGTTGTCGAATCACTTACACCCATTGAATCGTTCGCTCTGGGAAAACGATACTTTGGATCGTGATTGCAAATTAGGTTCCACGGTTCCTTTTGAATAGAGAGGGATTGAATAGGTTAGATTAATAAATAGGTGATTACGAGGTGTTTTGGGTTAATTTTGTTTTATTTTTTGACAAAATTGGTATATTTGCCGCGAGTTTGTAGTTCTTTTGAATGAATTGGTGTAGGAAAAAAGTTATTGTTCTTTTTCGGTAGAATTTTGTAAATAGTTCATTTTCAGTTTTACATTTTGACGTGTCGAGGGTTTCTATAAATTTTACATCAATTTACAAAATTTTTAAAAATTCGTTGAATTGTATTCGATCGATGGATTAATCGTTTAAAAATTGTACAATTATTTTCCTCTCTACGCAATAATGCTTAAGAAATATCTCGAATTTTAACTCGTTCTTCGTTTCTTCGAAGCAACAGAATCGTTATTTCCTTTCGCATTGCCAAATCAAAGAATTTTTCGTGAAAAAGTAAATGATTCATTTAATAAGTTTTTGACAGGCTGTTAAAAATGAAAAAATTAATTCTCTGTGCTAAAATTCTAAAAATTACCAATTTAAAGATATTATCGTATTACTTGTAATAGTATTAATAGTAATAATATAATAATTAATAATAATTATAATAATAAATAATAATTAATACATTTTTATAATCGAGAACTTGGCAAAAATTGAATTATTCCGGATGTTAATAATCATGGGAAAGGGAAACAAATTTTCCAATTTTTCCATTCTACTTTAATGCTTAACTATATCGTAAATTCGGCAAAGTTTCAAAGGTTAATGAGAAATCTTAAGAATGGTTAGGTCAGTTGGTGGCATTTGGAAAAGCTCGTAAAGCTATTCACCCTCCAGGTAACGAATACCAAAATCAGATGAAAGGATTTTTACGGTATTTCGGAAGCGTGCTTACTAATATTTTTCGAAGGTGTCAGTTTCTCTTGGTCGTTCGAGCAAGACGGATCGTTTGAATTATTCATTCGTTTTTTGTATCATTATTTATATTATCCTCTCTGAAAACTGGAATTATGCTCAGGTAACAATTATTTAAATTGATAGTTTTATTTCTTTAAAAAATTTCTTTTAAATTCAATTATATACATTTCTTTCTATTATATTTATATTTCTTTCTAAATTCAACGTTGAAGATAAAAATTCGTTATTTAGAATATTCTTTAAATACAGTTTTGCAGTGCAAAAGATTGTGAACGCATTCGAGATCGATATATAGAAGATTTTCTATTTTATGGCGGATGTACAGTCACGTCATGAAGTTTTCCAAGAAAAGTGAAAAAAGATTTTCCACGTATATTTCTGTGTATGCGTTTGTGTCAATGCAAGTGTAATCGAAAATCAATACTTGATTTTTGATCACAAATTTATTAATAAACAGCCATAGGATGAATATTTTTATTGCATATTGTTTTGCATTATTATTGCATTGTCGACATTCATCTGATTTCGTATTAGTTTCGATTTCGATACAAAAGGGAACGAATGAATCGTGTTATATAAAAGGATCGAATAATTAAATTATTTAAATATTCAGATATTTTTAAGTTAATAAATGATCTCTTAATGCTGGAAAGATTGATTTGAAGACTAATTACAAAAGATCTTTTTAAAAAAATGACTTTCTACTAGAGAAATAAGAAAATGTTTAAAATAGATTGGTCAATATTAAAAAAATGATCTAAAAAATTACCAACTTAAATTAAATTTATCAATAAGAGAGAATTATATTATACAATAAATTTGGCGAAACGACGGAGAGATACTCAAACTAATTTTTACCACGAATTTCACAGTCGATAAAAGGATATTAAATTCTTACCATGTTAGTTAGGTATATGCTAAACCGCAAAGTCCATAACCGTTTGTATCAATCAGTCACGACCCACTCGAATTCATAAACCAATCTATAAATAAAATCGAACTGAATTAAACGTTCGTACTCGATCCATTTCCAGTTTCGATATATATATGTGTATAAATAAGTAGACGTATTATTTTAAATATTTTATATTATAACCCTTTCACTTAATTAAGCAGAACTGAAAACAGATTTGAAACAGATTATGTTAATATATAGAGCGTTAGAAAGAAAAAAAATTTTAAACTTGAGGAACGAAAAAATAATCGATTCTTTGATATTCAAAATCAACTGTTATTTAATATTTAATATCACGAATGAGTTTTTTCGCGAGACATTTTATAGAAATACGTTGCACGCGATTTAAAAGTGATTCGAGATTGTTAAAACAAGATTATTATAATATATAACATCGATAAAAATTATTCCAATGGATACAAATGGTAATGATAAATTTTCTTTTTCCTGTAATAAATACTCGATATATTTTGCACTCGTTGCAATTTACATCGATCGGATAATCATACATCGTCACACACATCTAAATATTCTTTTCGAGCCTCGCGTTGCGCGACGTCATAAGAATAACACCTTGTCACCAGTAAATGGATACAGTAAATTTGTATTACATTTGTGTCTATGAAGTAATATCTTTGTTGACCTTAGTATCTAATAATATATTAGCAAACTCGAAAATGTATTTCTAAATCAATTCCTCTCTTCGCGCTCGGAAACTAATAATTTGCAAATAATTCGTAAATAATGAAAAAAGTAACAAAAGTTTTTAAATTTTACATCGGAAAGGATCGATTTTTAAATCTTTGAATCTTCGATCCTTTTTTAAACGCATATTTATAAATAAATTTCTCGAACAATTCGTAAAATAATAAATTCGAAATCGCGGAACCAACTTATACCGCTTTAAAGGAGATAAGTATTTGAGAGAATGTGAAGATATTTTACGAACGCGTACTCGAACGTGTACTAAAGTGCGATCGATCGGTGTTTCAGGTATCGTGGAGGCAATATGTCGGTGCTTCTGGAAGCGAGGTCTTACAGGCCTTTCAAGTCCTCGGAGGAGTATCTGATCGCGATGAAAGAGGATCTGGCCGAGTGGTTGAACGCGCTGTATCCGGAGTTGAGAATCAACGTTGACAATTTTATGGACAGGCTGGACACCGGCGTCGCTCTCTGCAAAGTAAGTGGCCGTGGAACGATTTATATATTTCCCAGAAGTATAAACTAGCATTAACTTAAGCGTCTCCCTTCTGTCCATACCGATACACGCGTGGATACATTTAAACAGAATTTGGCGAGAATCGTTGAGAATCATATTTCTAATATTCGTGGAGTTTTAGTGGAAAATATTTTCCTTTCAACTTTCGCATTTTTAATTTTTAATGTTTCTTTTTTTTCGTTTTCTTTAGATAAAATGTGACGAAATTTGGCGAGAATCGTTGAGAATCATATTTCTAATATTCGTGGAGTTTTAGTGGAAAATATTTTCCTTTCAACTTTCGCATTTTTAATTTTTAATGTTTCTTTTTTTTCGTTTTCTTTAGATAAAATGTGACGAAATTTGGCGAGAATCGTTGAGAATCATATTTCTAATATTCGTGGAGTTTTAGTGGAAAATATTTTCCTTTCAACTTTCGCATTTTTAATTTTTAATGTTTCTTTTCTTTCGTTTTCTTTAGATAAAATGTGACGAAATTTGACGAGAATTGTTGAGAATTATATTTCTAATATTCGTGGAGTTTTAGTGGAAAATATTTTCCTTTCAATTTTCGCATTTTTAATTTTTAATGTTCCTTTCTTTTTCTTTCGTTTCCTTTCGATAAAATGTGAATTTGATGAGAATCGTTGAGAATCATATTTCTAATATTCGTGGAAAATATTTTCCTTTCAACTTTCGTATTTTTAATTTTTAATGTTCCTTTCTTTCATTTCCTTTCGATAAAATGTGACGGAATTATATAATTCTTGGACGTCAAAGAGTGGTTTTCCTAGTTTGATGAAAAATTTCATGATTTTTATCTCCTTCTTCTTTTTCCTATTATATACTACGTGTAAGATTAAAAAATCGAAAGTAAGTTTTAAAAATTGAAGGAAACTGGTTCTAAAAATTATATTCAACCTACGTTTGATATATTTTAGAGAGTTTTGTCTATTTATCGGATGAAAGAGGTCTTGTTAAGAGGAATTCCAATTCTACTCGGTCGTAATTCAATTTTACTGCTATGATATTTCCGGCCATTAAACGGTTCGTAGATCGCAATGCTCGGGATTATTTAAGCTTAAGGAAGCAGAATAGAGATAGAATAAAGATACTCGAAGATGGTATCTTTCCCTTTTAATCAATTTTTAATCAAGAAAGACGATTTAATTCCCCAGGCGTGTATCGCGATAACGTTGCAATAAAAAATTTTTTTACAACAAAAAATTCGTTAAATTATTTAAAAAAAAAAGAAAGGCTTATCGTATTGACCCGGTGGTTCCTAGAAACTTCTTGAAAATTCTGCTCGTGAGTAACGTTAAAACGACGCATGCGACAAATGTACAGAGACGACGTATACACGGTCACAGCAACACTGTTGAAGCGTTAAATGGAAACGCATAGAAGGCACGTTCCTCGGATCGTGAAACGGAGGAAAAAGGATGCGTGTGACGTCCACCGGAAGCTGTTGCTTCAACGCCGCTTGAATCACGAATCGAGTCGGCGCGTGTGACGCGATGACGAGCGAAAGAAAGAGACAGAGCAGGTTCTTCGCGTGCCCCTGTTTCCCCCTTTTCTCTTCCTTCCAACCCGTTACAACGGGAAAATTCGCATTTCGTATCCAATTATCGGATATGTAGAAACACAATTCGATGCAATTCGATATATTTGAAACGATCAAAGTTATCGTATATAAGAGAAATTTTTGTTCAAATTATTCGTCATCCTATTTTCAATAGGAAAAGAAAATTATTTTAGAGATTTTTCTCTTGCTCGATGATAAAAATAAAATGGAAAGAATCCTATATAGAAACAATTCAATGCAATTCGATATATTTGAAACGAAGTTATTCTATATAAGAGAAATTTTTGTTCAAATTATTCGTCATCCTATTTTCAATAGGAAAAGAAAATTATTTTGGAGATTTTTCTCTTGCTCGATGATAAAAATAAAATGGAAAGAATCCTATATAGAAACACACTTCGATGCAATTCGATATATTTGAAACGTTCAAAGTCATCGTATATAAGAGAAATTTTTGTTCAAATTATTCGTCGTCCTATTTCAATACGAAAAGAAAATTATTTGGAAGATCTTAGGATCTGATCCATGCTAAAGGTGGTAAAAATGAAATGGAAAGAATTGGCGAGCAGCAGACGGTAGCCTTGCGGATTGGCAATTTTTCCGGCGAGGTAGTCCGGTTAAATGAATTCCCCTCGCGTGAAATAATCAGGGCCCACTCGTCGTTTCTCGTCGAAACGGGTTCTCCTTCCCGAGCGTGGTTTAGTTGATAAAGCATAAGGCGAATCGAGTCGAGTCGGGAATGTCGAGTGGAAGCAGCGGAGGCGATCATTAGTCGGTTCGAAACAGCCGCGAAAACCGAGAAAAATGGCGGCCGTCTGCAACTGGAATGGCCATTATTATTAACCGTATATATATATATATATATATATATATATATATATCGCTTTAACTCTCGAATTACACGCTGTGTAGACGAAGTAGCGTCGTGGATGGAAACACAAATGGAATGGAAACGAAGGAAGTGGCGGGGTCGAAGAATCCGCGATAAATTTCGCGGAATTTACTATCTAGATAAATGAAGGGAATTTGCATCGGATGAAAATAAGTGGTCGCGGTCGGGCGTAACTCGGCTCTGTTTATAGCCACGAGACTGGTTCGACTGGACGCGTGTAAACCGTGTCGCCAAAATGTTGACCAACGATCGATACGAAGTTGTTGCGTATCTGTGGAACGGATCGTGTCCCCAGCGGCTTGTCGCTTTTCGATCTTTTCCATTACGGGAGCTGTTTGCTACAGGGTGTGTTTAAGATGAATGGATTCGATAGGCTTTGAATTACCGATCGGATTACTACGGGATCAAGGGTGTGGACACAGTGGCAACGAGCGTGAAATATTCCGTTTTTACTGGCAAGATATGGACAGTTGTCGTTGAGTTAAAAAGTTGAAGAGTATCGTACGATGATCTAGTAGATCTTGAACGATCGTATAATTAAACTTTTTCGATGTTGAATTTATAGTTATCATTGAACAATTTTTCTTATTTATATTTATTATAGTTGTGTTTAGTACAATCATAGGAATTATTTACACGTTCGAGCGTGTTTTATCTATCGCGAATTTGTATCACCGATATTTCTATAAGTAAAGATAATCACGTGTCACGTTACTTGTCAGCAACACTCCTTTCATTTTATCTTATTTCGTCTCTTAAAATTGAAAAGAAAAAAACTTGGAATTCTTATCTTGTCATTTCGATTCCCAATATTTTCGAATTTCCATTTCTTACACCTCTCTGATCGAATAAATAAATCTCGATAACCCTCCCCCTGAAAATATTCAAATTATCGAGATTCGTTCGATGTGTTCGTGACGAAAGGGTCGAAATTTTGAGCCACCCCTTCACTCCTGAAATTAATCCACGATCGATTGATCAATTATCCGTGGAACAGGCGGGTATCGAAGCGTTGTTCGACCAAAGCTGTGACACCATCGAAGGAACACGGCCTCGTCCTATCTCCCTCGTACGATCGCGCTCGCCATCCAACAGATAGAGCGGTGGTGCGCTGTTCGAGAGCAAAAGCGACTTTCACTGATCTACGAGGAGCGTGGACTCGGGTGGGACTCGATTCCCCGCAAAACTGTCACAGCCGCGCCGCGTAAAATGGAGTTTTGGCTCGAATCGAAGCGGCCTCCATTCATGCTCGACATACGCTCGGAGTTCGTCGCGTGGGCTTTCGATTGCTCGATAGAAACCGAAATTTATACGTTGCAACGGTTTGATTTACTTTTCTTTAGGGGATACTTCTGGTGGGACGAAAGATTAAATAATTTGCCCCTATTGTTTCATCGATCAAATTTTTCGAGATTTTTATTTTTCGTAAGTTTCAAGAATTGTTGAGAATTTTCATTCGGATAGCGATCATCAAACATTTATCAATCATTTATTTTTCTTTAAGGAATACTTCTGATGGGACGAAAGATTAAATAATTTTCCCCTATTGTTTCATCGATCAAATTTTTTATTTTTCGTAAGTTTCAAGAATTGTTGAGAATTTTCATATAGGATAACGATCATCAAATCATGATTTATCAATCATTTACTTTTCTTTAGGGGATACTTCTGGTGGGACGAAAGATTAAATAATTTGCCCCTATTATTTCATCGATCAAATTTTTCGAGATTTTTATTTTTCGTAAGTTTCAAGAATTGTTGAAAATTTTCATTCGGATAGCGATCATCAAACATTTATCAATCATTTATTTTTTTTTAGGAGATACTTGTGGTAAGACGAAAGATTAAATAATTTGTCTTTATAGATCAAATTTTTCGAAATTTTTATTTTTCGTTAGTTTTAAGAATTGTTGAGAATTTTCATTCGGATAGCGATCATTTATCAATCATTTATTTTTCTTTAGGGGATACTTCTGGTGGGACGAAAGATTAAATAATTTTCCCCTATTGTTTCATCGATCAAATTTTTCGAGATTTTTATTTTTCGTAAGTTTCAAGAATTGGTGAAAATTTTCATTCGGATAGCGATCATCAAACATTTATCAATCATTTATTTTTTTTTAGGAGATACTTGTGGTAAGACGAAAGATTAAATAATTTGTCTTTATCGATCAAATTTTTCGAGATTTTTATTTTTCGTAAATTATTTTTCAAGAATTCTTGAGAATTTTCATTCGAATAGCGATCACCAAATCCTGATTTATCAATCATTAGTCTCGTAACTCTTCCATCTCGTAACTTTTCATCAATATATAATCAGATCTATAAATTGTATCACTCTCCCTCTTCATCCTCCCAATATTTTTCCATCGTCTTGTAACCACTACATAAATTTCTTTCATCATCGTTACCTTCGACCAATCATAATCCAAAAATAAAAGCTAAAATAGATTCATCGCGAAACCCATTCCATCGATTGTTAGAAAAAGAAATCGCTCGTAGAGA